CTATGTTGCCTGACATTTACTAATCCTTCGGTATCTCTTTTCATGTGGGATGTTGCCCCGCTGTCTACCATAACAGAAGTCATTTGGCTGTGTTTAAGGTCTCCAGATACATCCTTGGTGGCCAGCAAGCATGTATAGGAGTGCTTCGTTTTATTCTTGGGGCATTCATTTTCCCAGTGATCTGCACTTCCACAGTACCGACAACCATTTCCGCCGTGCAATCCTTTGCCACGGCCACGTCCGTTACGGCCTCCACGGCCTCCATTTCCCCGTCCGTAACTAATGCGCCCGCCTTTGCCAGGGCCATTGTAGGGGTTGCCACGTATACGCTCATACCGACCCAATTTATTTCCATTATGAGAACCTGCTCGGCCTCCACCATTTTTCTTTACGAGGCATTCTGTTTCTTTATGCCCGTATTTACCGCACCAATTACAGTACCCATTGAAACTTACTGCTAAGCACTGGTCATCCTTGACCTTAGCTATGTTTGTCACAAAATGATTGGTCATTTTTGACTTCAGATTTGAATAAGACATCAAATCTTGTGTTTCCAAACTCACTTTCACAATTCCATATGACGATGGAATTTTGTTAATCAGGTGAGTCAGTAGCATAGATTCATCGATTATCATGTCAAATTGATTCTTATTTTTCCTCGCTATTTCTTCCGCTGCTTCAAAGGTTTCACTTGGGTCACCATTTTCATCAAACTTGAGATGACTAAATTCAGACATGAGTAATGCCTTTTGAGTTTCTCCTCTCAATTCATATTTGTCAGTGAGTGCTTTAAACGCACCAGCTCCAATTTTATCTAGACGGAATTTTTCGATAAGATTCGCTGCCGCCCCTCTCAGGTACTTCTTAAGCGTGAAGTAGCTCTTCGCATTTTTCTCATCATAAGATTTTACCTCGTCCCCAGAAATCTGTGACTTGGTTAATCCAACAATGATATCTGCCATCTCTGGGTCCTTGGCACCAATGAAGCTTTCAACATCGCGTTTCCACGCGTCCCAATCCTCCAATCTTCCACTGAAGATTGCCATTCTGTAGTCATCCATATCACCCATGACTTTGAGGTTGTGATCCTGGCCAGCCCAATATTCAGCCTCCAGATTAAATCGAATGCTGTCTTTAATCTAGTAACCAATTACTAATTAAAACAGCCCTTACTCTCTGCAAATCCAATTGCACGAGATCGATTCAGTAAATCAGACCACTATTTCTGCAAATCCAATTGCACCAGAAATAGACCGTCGATCAGTGTCTTTTTATTCAACTCAAAAGGTTAGGTCAATTAGGGCCCATAACCTGATGCGAATAAACAATCCAAACCGCTGCGGATAACCCAATATCCAGTTAATTCTTCAGTACGACCCCTATTCTCCCTGAGAATGTAGACCAATGATTCACCCAAGAATCTCGTACTAAGATAACCAATACGATCGACAACCAAAGACAACCAAAGACACTGGTCGACGCCAGTCCTGTTGTCGTACAATAATATAACATATAAATGATTAGGTGGACGCAAACCATGACATGATACGGTAGCGATCAGCACATCACGATACAGACTGTTGGATCCATCAAGGATATAGGTGGCTCGCTTAACCTCCTCGGCTCGCTTAACCTCCTATCGCCGATCTCATGCTCCCTTAGCACCATCATGTCATCCTTATATTCGCGTCAGGTTTGGCGTTCATTTTGATGGAAGAAGGGGTTCTGTCAGAACCGTGTGCCTTCTTTATCGGCCTCAACTGGGCGACCCGATCGGGCAGGTCGGGCGACCAGGGCCGGCAAATTTAACGCAAAAGGATGCCAAGCATGGGCGGCCGGCGTCGAGACTAAATACATTTGATTCGATTGATCCTATAATTTTACGATTTCGGCTAGTCTATCGTCCTCTGAAGGTCTAGTACTCTCTCATTTCTGACGATCGTGTTCTTCGGGTCTATTTGTGTTCTCAGGAAGTCCCCGCTCTCGGGGTCTAAAAACGATACACTCTCTACTTAATAGGCGGCGGGTCCTACCAAGCTTGGCAGATATATGACGCTGCGTACACCACCACCCTTCTTGGGCGCCTGTGTGGAACGGCCTTGGTTGCCTTCAGTTAGTTCCATGCCCACAGTTGGAAGGCAACGCTGCTGTGCGTGTGACAGGTCGGAGGATAAAGTGTGCTTGCTGGGTTGCATAATCGTGCGCTCAGTGGTCAGAGCACTCCCTCGATCTTTCTTCTGATGGGCTGCTACTTCGACAACTACTATGTTCCGGATCCCATTTTCACAAATGTTTTTCACGTCCCACAAAACATTCCACAGTCATCAAACATGCGCGTGATTGCATCTCTTTTGTTCCTGGCTACGGTATTCAATTCCTTCCAAGCTCCCATGATTTCTCGAGGTAGGCCGCCATGTCCCACGCGTTCTCACCACGTACCTGCCCCCTTTGTACGAAAAATTCACTGGGATGATACACATGCTCGAAATAAAATCTCCGAGAGTTTTTCATGTGTATGTGATGAGCACTTTTAGACGCCCCACATCCGGGTCGCCTAGTACTACGCTACCCTCCCTCCCCCCCCCCCCCCAAACGTAGGTCGGCAGTTAATCTCACAATAGAGCGCAAAGAAAAATAAGTATGTCAGTGGAGGACTGGAAGTATTTCTCCTTCGGGCAAGGTTGAAAGATCGCATGACTTATGTCCTTCTTTTTTTCGCATCCGCGTTTGCGATTCTGGAGAAGAAATAATTCTGCACCTCATCCACGATCGGTACATGTGTCGTCTTCCCTCCCTCCCTTCCTTGCTTTCTGTCCTTTATTTTTCTTTCTTCCCTCTTGTCTCCACGCCAAACCTTTTTCTCCTCACAATAGTTCCTAGACGCACCCGGATTTTTTCTCCCAACCCATCATTCCCACACGTCCTCCTCTCTCTCTCCCTTCCTCAGGCTATCCTTGGCTGGCCACCCTGCTTCTACTTGGCCTCTGGATGCTTCTGTCTTTGACCAAGGTCTAAGAGCAGGACCTAGGCCGAAGTCTCCTGGGGGCGGGATGGAGGAATAAGGGAAAGCACAACGGAGGAAAGGAGAGCAACGGAGAGTGTTGAAGAACCAGAGGGAGGGAAAAAGGTAGGGGGGAGGCTTTAAGGGGTGGGAAAGAAAAGCGAGCGGAAGGTCCGGGTAGCTTGACTGGCGAGGAAGTAGGGACGGAGGGAGGGAGAGGGAAGGAGAGGACGGAGGAAGACAGGTCTACGCAATCGAGCACCAACCTCCCTCCCTGCTTTGGTTCCTTTTCCTTTTCTTCCCTATGTGACAGTGGGTGTGGCGCAAGAAATAGTTGACAAGCTCTTCTTCCTCTCCTTCCTCCCACTCTTGTATTTGATACGGCAATGGGTCTTCTAGCCCGCCCCTGGAACCAGGACAAATGTGAGCAAGGTCAACAAATAGAGATGTGGTGAAGCAAGCTTATGTATTTAAAGAATTCGCAACTGCATCCTTGGATTGATCTTGAAGATACTGCTACTTAGGACTCTTATGATTAGCCTGGAGGATGCCTAAGGGACGAAAGAGAGAAATGGATGCCAAAATAGAGGAAAAAGGGATAGGAAGAGGCTGAGAGTGTATGAAGAAGAATTGTACGTGAAGAGAAGAGTGACGTAGTGGCTGGTGCGAGTCTATTCGGCGGTAGGCGAGGAGATGCAATAAGCATTCCCGTATCACCCCTAGGCGCATCCAAAGAAAAGAAATAGAGCAATTAGAAATGGAGTCTCTAAGTAGATAAGCTGTGAAGCTCCTGATAGCTGATAGATCAACTATCACTTTTTGATAGGGTGGCAGTGCATTCATTTGCTAAATGCCTGCTGGCAACAATATTTCCAACACCTTCGCCATACGTACTCATGACAATGTCAAAGTTTGCTTTCTCGATAGGCACGGTTGATATGAGGTGGGAGGAGCTCAAATATTGCCAACAGCGATATAACAACCATAAGGAAGATGCCTTAGTGAAGGATTTATCACAAATGGACCGCGGTAATAGAATATATTCTCTAATCTGTAAGCTACACTCGTTACCCTTCAACATCAGAGCTTTCAAGATGGTCCAAATATCAGTGCACGCTCCGCTCTTCTCTCACATAACACCATCATACGTTGGAAAAATGCAGAGGAATCCTAAAGTGTGCTTCTTCTCCGCGGAAAAGGAAAGAAAGAGGGCCAAAAGGACATTGTTTCATTTGGAAAAAACAACGACATCTGACGCGCTCGCGGTCACATGCCAGCATTCCAGAGCCCTCGACGTCCATAACCATGTCCTCAAAGCCCATTCGTGGTTTTGGCAAGCACGTGACTCTTCTTGAAACTCTTCTTCATGTCTCCTATGGCCCTAATTGTGCACCTTTATGGCAACTCTCGGGTTGACAAGGTACTTTGAAGGCAGTTCCACAAGATCTCACGATCCCGCCTCCGGATTTTTCGTGCCACAGCCCCCTGGACGACCTCTTCAATATCCCTCCTCTATCCCGCAGCTATCTCTTGCGTCTTCTGACGCGCTATTCAACATCGAAGAGCAAGTACGGATGCCATTTCTTGTCCTCTGGCCTTTCGTCCTTTTTGTCCTCCTTCCTGCTGTCGTCCTCGTCCTCCTCCTCCTCCTCAAGCTTCCCAAGCCAGTCCCAGCTCGATGGGAGGTGAGATTCTTCTTGCTCATGGGAATGCCTGCCGATCAATTTTGTCCTACATCATCCAGGTAAAGGAAGCGAACACTGCTGCTTCAATATATGTTGCATTCTTGCTTAAGTCTTTCTCGAGGAATCACCGTCAGGACTCGAAGGATGCTTACCTCGTCGCTCCCTCGAATCCTCCCCCTCTCCCTCCATCATCCCCTTAGAATGGCGTGGATCCTGTTTTCTGGCATTGGGCTTTGCATGCCATCTACATATCTTTCATGGCAGCATTTTTCTGGATTCCTTAAGAGGACAGAAAAGTACTCGGTGGAACATATTGAGGAGGTGGGCAAACAGGGCGGGAGGGAGAAGGACGGCGTCTATACATTCCCTATAAGTTGAGCGATTTTTCACAGGAATCGATTTATTCAGAGAAATATAGAGCATTAGAGGAATCACAGCGCAAGGTTTGTGATTCATACTCATTTCTCCCCATGCCCCCTCCCATACCCCACCCTCCCTCTACCCCTTCCTCCCCCTCCCTCTCCCTCTTGCCCTCTTTCTTTCTCTTTCCGAGCTCCCAGGTCCCCATACTCCATCCCTCTGTCTTTATCATCGGCCACTACCGGAACGGCACCTCCCTTCTACATGAGCTCTTGAACAATGACGAGAGGTTTGTGGCCCCCACGGCCTTCCAATGCTCCGTCCCGCGAATAGTCGTGGGGAGGGAGGTGAGAGACAAAGGGATAGGGAGAAAGATAACAGTAGGAAGACGATGGAAGCCAGGGTCTTTTTCGATGCGGTGTCATTTGCATTCTAGTATTTTGAGATTTGAATGTAGGGCGGCGCCTCGCCCTCCTCCCTGCCCTAGGCCCGGCGGCATTCGCCCCTGTGGCTCTCCTCACCATCGATCCCCTTTCATCCCTCTCATTCCTCCCTCCGCCAATCCCTCATTTCGTCCTTCTAGAGGTTCATGACCAAGAAGTTTGCAGGGCTTCAGATGGAACGGCCCATGGACAGCTGAGTGTCGGAGGGAGGCGCAAGGAAGGGAGAAAGAGGGAGAGAGGGACGGCGCGAGGGAGGAAGAAAAGACAGACATCCAAAAATCACAATGCTGTGATCTTTTTTGAACACTTCTCTTTGTCCTGCTGGTAATGATATGCTCCCTTGATCCTCCCTCCTAGGCCTGCCCCACCAACTTTCTCTTCCCCTCTTCTCCCCATCTTTTCTTCCTCCCTCCTCTTTTCCCTTCCCCCCTCCTCCCACCATGCCTCCCTTCCTCTCTTTACATGTCTTCTTTCCTCTCCTATTTCCCTCCCTCCATTCTTCCAGCTCGGCCTTAGCTCCCCTTTCGAAGATTAATTCGCCATCGCGAACCTGTCGGGCCTCTCTCCCTACATGGGCGCCATTTTCCCTCGACAGGACCATTACTACGAGCGTTTTCTCTCCCTCAAAGATTGCTATCAGGTTCGCAATTCCCACCTTCTGTCTCCCCTTCAAAGGCTCTCCTTCCTTCTCCCAACCCTCCCTATTCCCTGACTCCCCCCCTTTCTCGTCCATCCCTTCGTGCTGTTCTCTTTTGCAGGCGGAGGTATCGGCATGGAAACGACCCATCACTTTCTTCTTATGAAAGTCTTGTACCATCAACAAGACAAGCGCCTCATCCTCAAGGTTTTTGCTTCTCCTCCTCTTTCCCTCGTTCTCGCCCTCCATTCCCGTCTTCCCTCCTTTTCTCCTCTCCTATTGCCCTTTCACTGTATTTTTATCTTTGCGGGCTGAGGACACGAGGCAATAAGTATTGGGTAAAGTTACCGTCCTTGTAATACACCCCCTTGTCATATACCTTGTTTTCCCCTCCCTCCCTCCCT